AGACACTGGGCTGGGCGTGGTGGCATATGCCTTTAATCCCAGTCCTGAGGTGGCAAGGGCAGGTGGATCTCTGCAAGATCAAGGCCACCCTAGTTCATATCCTGACTTCCAGGTGGGCTGTGACTATGGAAACCCTGTCAAAAAACAGTCAACAAAAAGACACTGGAAGTCAACCTTTGTTCTGTGCATGCACACACAAACATGTACATACACCACACGCACAAATAAAATTGATGGACCTTGGTATTATATTCCTAAATACATTACTTCCATTAGAACTGGCAAGAAATAAACAGTATATTTAATAAAAGTTGGTAATTGACTGCTGTTATTCTGTTAACAATGAAATAAAAGCAAGAAAAGTAAATTGGCCTTTTGGTATTTATCTTTGTTTCTAACTGTAATTATTGACACCTGGACTAAATTGCAGCTTTCATTAGATAGCAAGAGAATGCATTTATTTCCATTGTCCTATCTATAGGTAAATAAAAAGGGTGAAGATATTTCAGTCATTGTTAATTTAGTACATGAATCATAGGTTTCCTTTTGTCTGAGGTAAAAGATCCTAAACAATTAGCAAGAGTTTGCTTGATTTACTAAAAAAATTTGTTTTATTCTGTCATCTACTTGCAGTATTTAACTGATACTCTTAAATTTACTATATTTCAAGTGTATTGTTTTGAAAAAAGTTACATCCATAGCATTCAGTGTTCATTTATCTTTGCATTGTTTTTATTTACTAAAATTCTAGAATTTATGCCTGAAAGAGAAATTAGAAATCATGTAGTTCAAACATATGAAAGGATGGAACCTGTGATAAGTTAGATAGTCCCAGTTTTTGACAGCTGTTTTCTTGTAGAATTAATGTAAGATTTTAAAATTGATAGTTTATATAAAAGGCATACTTTCATAACACATTAAGCTGTACTGATTTAGATACTACTGTGTTTGTTTACATGAGTATGCCATTAAATTAAAATACATTTCTCTATAGTAAATTGTAGAAAATGCTAAATTCCAATTTTCATTTTTCTCTAATTTTTAATGCTGGCTAGATTTGGGCAGAGGAAGTGACAAAAGTAAGTAAATTGTTAAACTACAAAATCATGAAACAAGAATTTAATTATCATCATTCAGTCATTAGTTGGGCATCAGTCTTGGAGCCAGTTGCAACTGGTTTGTTACTTATCTTTTAAAATCATAAAAGAAATGCTCAAGTCTATTTGGTTAAAGCAGTTCTACAGAGTAGTAGAACAGTGGTCCAGAGATGCTTCCAGACATGGTAATAAATCCTGGAGAACAGTTAAGTGGTAATCATTCAGTGCCCAGCTGGAAGATAGCTGAAGTACTTGATTTATTCTTTGACAGCTATTTTTTCAATGACATTTTAAAATGTAAAGTATACTTAATGCCATGACCTCTGTTTTCAGATAACAGGATTTATCTTAACTTCCCTCATAGGAATTTTGGGTAATTAAAAAGTGTTCTCTTGAGCACCAAACGTAACTTTCCTTCACTTTAATAGAAAATCTCTATAAATATATGCTATTTTATATAGCTATATAAAACACAGGTTATCAAATATTTCATTTTATTTATACTTAAGGTCTTAATTATTATGCAGTGTAACAATTGGATCTTTTGTTTTTGTCCTCTACTACAGTGTCAGACTATTACTTCTCATTGCTCTCTATATATGGCTGTTAACCCCTGTCCCTCTGCCTCTGTTAACATTTCTCACTTACTTTCTCTGAGCTGGGAAATCAAGTTACAAAGCAAGAATTTAAAAAATAAAATACAACATTTAGTGCAGATGTGTTTCAAATGCCATTCAAACAAATGTCATTTACCCCATGGGAGCTCAGGCCTACCAAAGTCTGAACTCCAGATAAAGATAACTCTAACAGGTGCTAACTATGGCCTCAAGTTTTTAATGGCTTTATAAGCCTTAACTTTTTATTTTTCTGACTTAAAAAAGTGCTGATTTCTACAGTTTGTTTTATGCATAGGTTATTGACAGTGGAAACTTGATTTATGCTCAAATACATGAGCCTGTGAGGGAATTTTTCATTTAGACCACTACACAGAGTATCTCCCCTTTGGTACAGGTACACATAAAGTTTCTGACTTGATTTTTGCACCTTATCTACAAGGTCGAGAAGTTGGAATAATGAATGGGATAAAATTCATGAAACAAATGTCTGTTTTATATAAAAATACATGAAAATACAGGAAATTTGTCAAAATGGATTTGAAGAGTTATTTTTCTGTACTTTGACTTCTGTCATTTTATAATTAAAAATATGTATAGAATTCAAAATTTCATTTCCTGAAGACTTAACCTAAGCCCCTATGAAAGTATAGGTAGCACCAACCAAGATTTTCACAACAAATGCCTCAGAAGTATGACCAGCATTTCTGGCATTTAGATACTAAGTCTTGATACCACTACCCAATAGATTGCCCATTTTTCCAAGTTACTTCTTAAAGAACTATACCTAACCTGTAGATCAGGTAGTTTATTAGCAGTGATTCTTAGTACACGATCTTTTCCTAGAAATCTATACCTTAATTATAAAATTAAGTCAAAGAATAATAAGATATTCTAAAAGATGAACTATCGTTTGTAAAATTGTCTATAAACCTTTCTCATCTTTCTATGTTTCATTTCTTCCTAAATAAACTGATTATGCTGAACCTAATTTAACTTCCTTAGCTTCTTGGATTATTATTTTCAGTTTTGTTTAGAGAGGGACATATGACTTCATGATAACCTCAAAAATACTTTGAAGCTTGTTCAAGAAATGATATTCATTCCTGTTATTTACCTTTTTTATTTTTATTTTTTTTAATTTTATGTATATGAGTGTATTGCCTGCATGTTAATGAGTGCACCCATATCGTGCAGTGCTGCGGAGGTCAGAAGAGGGCTTTGGATTCCCCTGGAACTGGAGTTAAGGACAGTTTGTAGCCGCCATGTGGGTGCTGGAAATGGAACCCGGGTCCTCTGCAAGAGCAGTCAGTGGTCTTAACTGCTGAGCCATCTCTCCAGCCCATTATTTACCTTTTTTAAATCTAAAGTCTAGATAGTACAGAAGTATGACTTTCTAAGCTTTATAGCATCAGGTCTTTCTTCACTTAAAACTTTTTAATTTTATTCAAACCTAGAAGACTGATGTCATCTTAATGAGATCGTTTAATGTTATTTTTATTCCATTTTCTTATTAAAACATAATTTCCACTTTAGTCTTAACATCATGCTCATTTTAATCTGCTACCTGAGCTAAGTTATAACTGTACATTTATACAAAAATAGCTCATTATATGAAATTGCACTTTCACAAACACTTGTATGGAACTAGTCCAGTTTACTTTTGAAATTCATTTATTTTGGTTTGCTATAGCTTTTTCTGTTAATTAAAGCCATTTTGTATTTGGTCAAGCAGAACAGTAAATAGTACAAGTGTAACCTGAAATGATTGGAGGTTTTATGTCTTCTTAAATGGAAAGAACATTAATTCTTTCCTTCTCCTGGGACTTTGTGCTTAGTGCTGCCTTCTAGATAAAGTTGACTTGAGCCCTGCTTAAGTATTTTGGTCTTACTTGAATTTAATTTTAATCCTTTAATTATTATGTAATGTAATTGAAGCTTATTTTTATAAATCCAGTCTGTAAGTCCCCTTCCCCAAGTATATTGCCAGTGGAGTACTAAGGCAACCAATTATGTACATCTTTTGTTAACTGGCCCACCAGGGTAACTGTTGTCACCAAAGAATGAAAGCAATGGAGAAGAGTATGAAAGGAAAATGTTTGACCTTGTTTTGTACTCATTATATCATGGAAATGATGTGAATTATTTGCATATGGGGAAATTATTTATGCTATTTTGTTCTAGTACTAAACATACTGGTAGCCGTTAGTGCTATATATAGATCTCATTTCTGAAGTCAGTGACTTCATCTTGGTGGCTTAAAATCAGCCTGGATGGGAATATTTAGATCATACAAATCAGGATGTTAGAGTGCTTCTTTTTTCCTATAGAATTGGTATACTAACACCACACTGAAGGCCAATGTTAACTTGTAGAAAAGCATTTTCAACCATGATCTTAACATGATATTTATGCATAAAGCCTATTGTGCATACTTCAGAAAGAGTAAAAGAAAGACATTTAAAATGTAGGACAGGGCTGGAGAGATGGCTCAGCAGCTAAGAACACTGGTTGTTATTGGAGAAGACCCAGGTTCAAATCCCAGCACCTACATGGCAGCTAACAACTGTCTGTAACTCTAGTCCCAAGGGATCTGATGGCCTCTTCTGACCTCTGCAGGCATTGCACGACACAGGTACACTTACCTACATGCAGGCAATACACGCATACACATAAAAAATAAATGATTTTTTTTTAAATGTAGGACAAAGAATTCCCTGAAAAAACTTGCCTGAGAGCTGTGTCTAGCAGTAAGTAAGCATGGTCTCTAAACATAAGAGGTGAAAATCTATGGCTTCTCTCTTAAAGTCTCGGATTTGAAATGAAAAACACCTAGCAATATTAAATATTAAATTTACTAGAAAAGGAATAAAAATGCCTTGACTGTCCATAGTAGGTCTTCAGGCTCTTAAGAATATTAAGCTAGCTGGGCATGGTGGTACACGCCTTTAATCCCAGCACTTGAGAGGCACAGGCAGGTGGATCTTTCTTAGTTCAAGGCCAGCCTGGTCTACATAGTGAGTTCCAGGACAACTGAGGCTACAAGGAGACCCTGTCTCAAAAAAAAAGAATGTTAAGCTTTGGCATTAATAGATTCTTTTGAGTCAAGTGTTGGTATGGAATCAGTTCTGTCAAGGTTGAGTGATACAAGGTTTAGAATAGGAACAGGTGAGATTAAAGAATTGTCAGATTATAATTAAGAGTTTATTGGGGGAATTTTTTTTGTCTTTGTATTATAAAGTATTCTAAGTCTTCCAGTGAGATTCTAAAACTATGTCCTAATTTTAAGTCTGAACAGGAATTAAGAATAACTCAGAGTGAATTTGATCGTCAAGCAGAGATTACCAGACTTCTGCTAGAAGGAATCAGCAGTACACACGTGAGTGTTAATTCATTTAGAACAACAGACATTGCAATACCACTTAGGAGGCTAGGGCGGGAAAATTTTGAGGTTGAAGGCAGTATGAGCTCTTACAGAGGACACTAACTTTAAAAGAAATCAACTTTTAGGCTGGGTGTGGTGGTGCACACCTTTAATCCCAGCATTTGGGAGACAGAGGCAGGTGGATCTTCGTGAGTTCGAGGCCAGCCTGGTCTACATAGTGAGTTCCAGGCCAGCTGGGGATATAAGGATACTCTGTCTCAAAAAGACCAAAACAAAAAAAGAAACCAACTTTTATGTCTTACAGGGCTTATACTGAGTTCAATATTGTATAACTGTATTAATTCAACAGCGAACTTAAAAATTTTATAACCACTTTTGAAAGAGATGTATCTTTGCTCTGGAAACTGTTACTGAGTATGTTAAAGCTGTAATGAAATGCTTCTAAAAAAATTTTTTAAATATGTTTTAAAAAATAAAAAGAAACCAACTTTATTATCAAGGAAAGTTTAAAATACAGTACTTTCCATGATATGTGAAGAAAATTTTTAAATTTTCTCTTAAACCTCATCGTTCACTTTTTCAACTTTCTGCAAATCCTCATGTTGGCTTTTGTTGGCTAACGTTTGTTAATACATTGTTCACCAATATTAGTCTTAATAAGCCTTGTAGTGAGATACTAGATAAGTGATTCTCCCTCTTGAATGTTGTCCTTTGTTCCACCCTTGGCATGTACCACTTTAAAAACTGTTGAGTACTAATTATAATTTTCCATTACAGGCCCATCATCTCCGCTGTCTGAATGACTTTGTAGAAGCCCAGATGACTTACTATGCACAGTGTTACCAGTACATGTTAGACCTCCAAAAACAACTGGGAAGGTAGCAGTTTCCTTTTCATATATGGAAGTCCTGATAAAGAAGGGAAGAGTGAGAACTGGGGAGATGGCTTAGTGGGTAAAGCACTTGACACATAAGTGTGAGGACCTGAGTTTGGATCCCCAGAACTCATGTGAAGCCAGATGCAGTAGCACGCATGTGTAATCCCAGCATTGCTATAGCAAGATAGGAGGCAGAGAGAGGAGAACCCCCAGAATTTCACAGACCAATTATCAGGGGACATAGGGACAGGCATTGGGGAAAAGGAGTAAATGAAAGCAAAGCATAATGACATATACACATGAAAATGCTATAATGAAACTCATTATTTTGTATACTGACAAAAATTATTATAAAAAAATTTTTTTTAAATCCTGATGCATAGCCAGGTGCGATGATTCATGCCTTTAATCCAAGCACTCAGGAGGCAGGTAGGTGGCTCTTGGTGAGATTGAGCTGCAGGCCTGCTGGAGCTACAGGAACACTCTATCTCAGAAAAACAAACAAAAAAAGAAATCCTGATGAAAGAAGTTGAGATTTTTATATATGGGGACCAGTAAGATGGCAAAGTAGGAAGGCACCTACTGCCAAGCCTGATGACCTGAGTTCAGTTCCTTTACGTTTACATAGTGGAAGGGGAGACTCCTGCAAGTTGATCTCTGATTGTCACACACTCACCATGGCACATCTATACACACACACAAACCTCACAGAAAATAAATAAAATTAATAAAAGTTTTTAAGATTTCTATATATAAATCAATAGCAGGAATGAAGATCAGAGTTAAAGGTTTTGTTAGTCTGCATGCAGTTGCTTTTGTTGTTATTAATCAGACTTCTGAGATAACATTTTGAGCTTCTCTAGTACAAAAGGTTATTAACAGAGATGAGAAGATAATTTAAGTGAATACTACTTTAGTTCCATATAAAGCAAGCTATAAAGGTGTCTGAGGTTTTACTTTTACTACTGAATACTTTTTTGCTGTTGGTTGAAGATGATAGTTATAATATCCTTAAGGGTAAGATAATTTCTATTTGTTAATTTTGGAATGTTCTGTAAGATCTCAAGCCCCTTACATCATTATTTTATGTATGGTTATGTACTTTAAAGCAGAAGTATATAAAACACATAACTGAATCATTAATCACTTAATATTTATAGACTACCTTCCTTGGGGCCAAAAATTCCTGTATATTCTGGAGTTGTGTCTGCAAACAAAATAGACATAAATACTGACCTAGCAAATATCTCAGCTTTCACATTTGAAGTCTTAAGTAGTGACTAGAGAAATGGCTCAGTGATTAAGCATCACTGGCTACTCTTGGAGATACCTGGGTTCAGTACCCTGGGGATCCATCTCCCTCTTCTGGCCTCTTGTGTATTGCACAACATGGGTGTGCTTACATTGCATGCAGGCAAAACACTCATACACCTTAAATAAATAAATAAATTTTAAGTATAAGTAGAACTACAAGTCATAGATAGACAGGACATATAAGTAGTAAAAAGATAGAGGAGCAAGATGTGAGGCATATAATTGTCATTCAGCTGCATCTAGCAAAGTTTCACAGATGAAGTTATTTTAGTAGGAGCAGTCTAGATGAAGAAAGGGGGATAGAATGACTATTACAGGCAAACCTAGGATAAGAGAAAAGAAAGTGGCAAGTTCATTCTGTTTAGGGCACCAGTGTTGAAGTGGAGAATGGAATAGTATGTGACGCTAGAGGAACTGACAGGGTTGTACCATGAGTGGCCTTCAAAGTTAATTGTAAGGGGTTTGGGATTTATATAATCATTAGGTCAGAGGAATGAGAGGTGGCACTTAAAGGAAAAATACAAAATAACTTGTTTTAAAGAATAAGATTAGAAAAAGAATCACTCCACTGTTCTTTGCCTATTCTTCGAATTTAGGCTTAGACCAAAGTTAGGTACATCTACAAAGCCAGTTTTAGGTCTTAAATGAATTGTTGCCTGTTACCATTAGTTACTCTAGTAGGATTTACCTGATGGGTTTATGTTTCTTTGTATTTGGTATTTTGTTAGTGGTGTTCATATCTGAAGGCAGAACACCACTTTATCCCTACATTGTTAAAAGTATTTTAAGCCCAAGAAACCTTAATGCTTCCTTCCCTCTTTGTCCTGAAACTCAGAGTGTAGCAGATGGACTGTACTTGTTAACCGTCACACTTTAATTCTCTTTTAGCCACACAGTCCTTGACATTCAGCCATCCATACAAAATCTGATCACTGGTACATCAAATTAAGTGCTAACCTTACAAAGTAAAACCAGTGCTGTTCTAGAGAAGAAAGGCTGCCTTGCCTCTGTACTTTCAAAGAATTCTATTACTGCTAAGGACCAGTGACAGGGAGTCAGGAAAATTTTAGCCTTGTAGTTTTATCAGGATATGCTTTTTAAGGCAGAGAGGAGGGAGCCAGTATGGTGGTGCACGCCTTTCATCCCAGCACCTGGGAGGCAGCCTGGTCTACATAATGAGACCCTGTCTCAATAAAACAGAACAAAGTAAGAGTAGAGGGTCAGATGACATGGCACATACCTGTAATCCCAGCACTAAGGAAGCTCAGAAAGGACTACCCTAAGAGGCTAGCCTGGCCTACATAGTGAAACTTTTTTTAAGGCATTTAAATGCAGACCTTAGCAAATAAATCATCCAGCTCACACTAACCAATCTAAAAGCTGTTTCTGGAGTAGGACCATGTTGTTGTAATAGCATTGTTGTTAGTAATAGTAGCTAAGTAACAACAGTCATTTCTGTAGGGCTTAAATTGTGCCCAAGCACTCTTCCAAAACTTCATATGCGTTGCTGACTTTGTAATCCTTAGCCCCACCTGAGATGGGCACTGTTATTATTCATATTATGCACAAAGGAAACAAATACCAGGCACAAAGTAAATTTTTTTATTTTTATTTAACTTTTTAGTAATTAGATGATTTTAACATACCAAGTTACAATGACTTAATTGGTATTATTGCAGTGAGTTAATTTCACAGTTTTTTAAATGTATCAGTAAAAGTTCTTTAAAGGTGAAAATCCCCTTTTGTTTTTAACCATTAATCCCTATAAAATACATGACAAAGCTAAGAATTACTGCAAGTGTTTGACCTGTTCAACTAAAAGAATACAGTTCTAGTTAATCAAAATGGGGAATGTCACTAGAGGAGCAGGTTTCAGGGATGGAAAAAACAGCAGAATGTGTCAGAAGCACAGCTGTATACAAGTTTGAGATTCTGTTAAACATTTAAGCCCACAGGTATTCAAATTAAGATATGTAAGTCTAGCCAGTCCTGATAGCTCACATCTTTAAACTCAGCACTTTTTAGGCAGAGACAGGCAGATCTCTGTAAGTACTAGGACAGCCTGGTCTATATAACCAGTTCCAGGCCAGCAAGGGCTACATAGTGAGACGGGGGGTAGGGGGTAGGAAATAGGGGGTTCGAAGTAAGTCTGAACTTTGTGGTATGAATAATGACAAAATAACCTGTCTCGGGGGTAGGGGGTAGGAAGTAGGGGGTTCGAAGTAAGTCTGAACTTTGTGGTATGAATAATGACAAAATAATACTCATAAACATACCACAGATATTTAAGTCTGTGAGACCAGGTGGTTGAATAGTAGGGGGGAAAGTGTGTCATATAAGGGACTGGAAAGAGAAAATTGACAGCACATTTAGACAGTCTTTCTAGGAGTTCTGATGTAAAGAAGAAGAGAAAAGTAAAGCAGAAGCCAGGCGATAAAGTAGGATCTAGCAGTTCTGTTGTTTAAAAATAGATAAATAAATAATAACATGTTTGCAAATTGATGAGAATGATAAAAATAGATTGAGAAAATATGACAATAGAGGGGAGAAAGGGAAGAGTTCCTACAGTTATCTCCTTAACAGGTGAGCCTATGTACATGTAAAGGGATTAGCCTCAGAAATACAGACAGCTTGTCAGTATTAAGAGGAAAGGTGGCCAATTTCCTGGTTATTCTTATTCCTCAACTTTGTGTGTGGCTTAGCAGAGAATTGCTAGAATTTTGAATGTAGATGAAAGTCAGCAGGAGAACCAAAAGTGATTATCAGCTAGACTTGATGTAGTGTAGCATTGTTGCCAGGAAGTACTGTGGACCCACCTGAGGAGTCTAGTCACAAGTATAAGACAAAACAACATAGCCTTTTATTTCTCTCCGTTCACAGTAGGTACATTGATACTGAGTCTGTGAGTCGGGAGAATTTTACCAAGTTAGTAAAGTGAAGGACATAAGAGATGAAAGTAGGTAAGCACAGCGTGAGTGCCATAATAAATAATGGAAATGAAGAAAGTGTAGGGTCAGAAATTGTTGAAGTGGGATTACTAGGGGGAAAATGATCAAAGAATAGATGTTTCCAACAAGAGATGGGAGACAGCAAATGGTCGAATAATGTGAAATTGAACAACATAGAGAATTTGTTAAAGAGAGTGTTAGCATGGGAATGAGGAGCACAAGATTCCTCCTCCATTCACTTCTAGATTCTACCGTAAGAGCAGTATAGGACAGAAACATTGGCATAAGGAGAGAAAAAAGATAATGGGATTTTGCTGGTGGCTGACTGATTTCTTGGTGGCACTATGTTCCTAAAGAGAATTTCATTTTCTAGAGGAATGAATTTCATTCTGCTTACCGGATGAGAAGCCTTGTATATTTTAGCTAGCAGATTTATTAAAATTTAAATATGGAGGTAGGGTGTAGAACTTTTAAGTATTTGCTTAGCATGCACAAGCCTACTGTTTCTACTTAGTTTTTAGTACTTAGTTCTACTGAGGAAATAATAGTTTTAAAACAGAAACTCCACAAACTTTCACTTGTTTCTAATAGAACTTTTATTTATCCTTTAAAAACAATCAAAAAGGACCGGGCGTGGTGGTACACGCCTTTAATCCCAGCACTTGGTAGGCAGAGGCTGGTGGATTTCTGTGAATTCAAGGCCAGCCTGGTCTACATAGCTACATAGTGAGTTCCAGGACAGCTGGGGCTACAGGGAGACCCTGTCTCAAAAAGACCAAAAAACACCAATCAAAAAGCCAGGTATGGTGATGCACACCTTTAGTTCCAGCACTCGGGAGGCAGAGATGGAAGTTCAAGCTCAGCTGGGGCTACAATGAGACCCTGTCTCAAAAAAAAAAAATTAAAAAGAGAGAGCTTGTGAAATTTGCCATATTTTCCTATTGAGTCTTACATTTCGTTATAATAATTACCAGTCATATTATTTGAACTTATCTTCTCATCTGTATGTCCTTTAAGGGTAATTACAGTGTCATTTCATCTTTCTCCTCAGGTTGTGATAGTAGTGCTGAACATATTAGATAATGCATACTGTCCCTTGAATGAATAGGAAAATATAATGTGTTGGTTTTATGACAGAGTTCAGACAACCAAATATTTCTCAAAAAATTAAGAAAGCTTCATTCTCATGGTGGTATCTAATATTTAGCTTTTCTTGGATACGTCTATGTAACAATTCACAGAGGGATGAAAAGAGATTAATACATATTATGTAAAGTTTTTGGCAGCATTTTAAGAATAAACGTCCCTTCCCAGGAGGAAAGTTAGCCATGATGTTCACATTTTTTAAGTCAATATAAAAAGTCAGCTTTGAAGCAAACCTTCAAGAATTTTATATTCCAGTACCACCTGAATTGTGTCTGCTATATCTGGCCCAGGAGAGGAGAAGAAGATTTTTACACACTTTTATCAATAAAATAGTAAATTATTAACTGTAAATCTTTTTCCAATGTGAAAGCTGGTAAACAGTGCCACCAAGTGGTGATAGTAGGGACCTTTGATCTCTTGAAAATAGGTAACTGATGGGGGTTTTTGTGTTGCTTTTTTTTCAACAGTTTCCCAACCAATTATCTTTCTAACAACAATCAGAATTCTGGGACACCTATGCCATCTGCTTTATCAAATGTGATTGGTCCTTCTGCTATGGCTTCACCAAGTAGCCTAGTAATCACCTCTCCTAACCTCAATGACCTTAAAGAATCAAGTGGCAGCAGAAAGGCCAGGGTTCTGTATGATTATGATGCTGCAAACAGCAGTGAACTATCACTTTTGGCAGATGAGGTAAGTGATGTCCATATGAGAAGAAAAATCATATCACAGACAGGCATAACTTCCAGTAATACAACAAAGTACAAATTCCTCATTCAGACTTGAAAATCGTTTATCATGAATGTGTCATGGATTTCAGTTAATATTGATATTTAAAAGGTTTTATTTTATATAAATAGAACATCACAGAAATAAAGTTTTAAATGCTTAATTGCTAAATACCTTATAAAACTGCCTTTAATAACTTATTTTTCAGGAAAATGGATATATAAAATCTTTAAGGAGTTAGCCGGGCATGGTGGCACATGCCTTTAGTCCCAGCCAGCTGGGGCTACAGGGAGACCGTCTCAAAAAGACCAAAATGAATAAAATCTTTTAATAGTTTAAACAAATACAAATCCGATTTGTTTGCTATGTGTTTATTTTTTAATATAGCTAACAATTACAAATGTTTTATTTTGTAGGTAATCACTGTGTTCAGTGTCGTTGGAATGGATTCAGACTGGCTAATGGGGGAGAGAGGAAATCAGAAGGGCAAGGTGCCAATTACCTACTTAGAACTGCTCAATTAAATAGGGAGACCATGAAAGAGTACCCATTGTGACACCATATTTATATACAGTTAACTCTAAAGCAGGCTTAAGTATCTTTTCATGTTAATGTCTAAAAAAGAAAAAAAAATACCAGCCACTAGAATTTGGCCTTTCTCCCAGTAAAACTGCATGGTTAATAATTCATTACAGAATTTGTGTTAAGAGATTTCATGACAAGAATGGTTTCATATTATAAATTCTCTTTCTACTGAGGTTTCACTAATAAGCAACTTCTACTTTTGAGCCTCAACTTTAAAGCAAAAGAATTGTTTTCTACTGAATTTTTCATTAACAGCAAGCTTTTTCTTTTGTGTAAAATAAATTTATTGTGAGTAATCCCAGTGACTCATTTATTAGGTATCATTAATAGCCAAAGAATAAAGTAAAAACTTATTTTTACCTTGCTGCCCAATAGGAATCAGATGACTTCAATACTATGTGTTAGTGGGGCTTTTTTTCCTTGGTTTGGAGTTTTTGTTTGGTTGATTTGGTTTTGGTTTATTTTTTTATTTTTAAAATACTACTGAATTTTTTAAAGTTAAAAACAGCTAATCCTGGAAAAGTATTACCTTATTTCTTAGGGTAGTTAAGGTTCTAGAGCACCCAAGACAAATTCATTTCAGATAATTTTTTTAAGATTATTCGATTACATAATACATAATCAGAATTTCATCCATTAGTAACATACTACACTAAAGATTTGTTATTAAACAAGAAATGTTTGTAAAAATACGGGTTAGTACCACTACATTCATTATAAAGTAAATCATATACAGACTTATTCTGGGTTCACTAATTAAACAAGTTTTATTACTGAATATAGGTTATCTTGGTCAGGATCTCTGGTTATGACGTACATACTCTGGAAACTACTAATGACATATTTGAAGCTAGAGAATTAGTATATGGACTGTTGCTATGTATCAGCAGCGGTTACTGTAAATTAGCAATTAAGAATTTTGTTATTGTTAGGACTTCACCTCATCATTTATCAATTCAGCAAACATTTGTTGGCTGTTGATCAACTTGGTATGTTACTATGAACAAGATGCCCCTGCAGAGCTTCAAGACCAGTAGAGGATACAAAAATATGGAAATTTCTTGTTGTAACAGGATTACTACTATGAAGGAAGAACTAGAAGGTACTGTGTTTAGGAATCAACTGATTCAGATCTGAGGAGTCAGAAATGGTTCCAGGTAGAAAGAAAAAGATCTGCTGGGCCTAGAACCAGCCGAACATTGTTCAGACTGACTTAACACTAAAGTGCAAAAGTGTAGTTCATTTGTTCAGAGAATCTTGATACATCAAAGTAATAAGTTTTTGTACTTTAAAAAGGTGGCTATTTAAATGGCATTTTAAAATATCCTTTTGTGTTAAGAGCTTGGTAAACGTTAGAAATTTAAATAATAGTCCCAATTTTAACCTTTTATTTCTATGCTGCAACACAAATTCTACTGCAGTTTTACAGTAAAGTAAGATTCTGACTCACACTGTGAATTACATAAAGAACCCCCAAAGCTCTTCAAGATAGCTAGTGTTCTATAGAACCAACTGAATAAAGCTTTTCTTCTCCCTCAGAAAGGAAGGTTTACAGCCTAAAGTACTATACCATGTATTAGATTTGTCCAGATTTAGGCTTTGAAAGACTTCAAAAGTTCAGGTGAACTTAAACAGCTATTTAGGTTTAGCAAGTTAAGTTTATGAGCAGTAGAATGATAAAGGAGAAAATGCAGGTACTGGAGTGAATTGATTCTGGGCTCTCACATATTATGTTCCTTGTGTTTCAACTCAGATGTATAACTGGCATTTTCTTACCAGTAAAATGGGGATAATAAGTATGCCACCTGGCGGGAGATTATTCCACAAATGTTACTTTGTATTTCATGCTTTTCAGGCAAAGATCTGGCACATAGTAAACATGTTTTGTAAATATCAACTACCCCTTTTGGTCCCTGTAGCTGGCCTACTGGTACTGTGGGCTTTATGACTGGTTATGACTATGGACTAGAGGAGTATCTTTTTACATCTGTGCTCTGCTTATCCTTTCAGTTTCATTCTCCTCCACCCACTTTAATTCAGACCAGGTTTACTCACCACAGTCGGTGTAAATTCTGTATCAGAACCTTCTGAGGTTTTTTTGGTTGGTTAGGTAATTTATTTTGGTTTTGACTTAAAGTTGTAAGTTTAATTTTTACTCAGGTAAAGGCCCAAGGAGGTTGTTAAGCATAGAAGAAAAAGTTTGGGGAGCATATTAATAGTGCAATTCAGATTTATTTAAGTCCTTGGCCTCTGAGCATGATTCAGAAGTACAGTAATGAGTGAAGGATGCATATATGGAAGAAATAATAAGCATGGAGATATCTGTAGGCTCTTCACAAATATTTTTATGGTGCTATTCAAAATTTTTCACATTACAGGAGATGGGGGTCCCTAAAATTAAAATGTACCTCACTCTGGGCAATAAGGGACATAAACCTAGGGCTGGCCTCCCCAGTAAGCTAAAGCCCTTCCTCCTAGTCTGCTGTTATCCTTAAAATAACAAAGAAAGAAAAAGGAAGCTGCGGTTGGGCATCCATTTCTGAGGTAAATCATAGGGAGAAGATGATGGAGGACAGGACAGAAAACATGTTTCCCCAGAGAGGCCTAGTGTGATGCCATGCATTATTGGCAGAGTTCCTGAACTTCTCTATCTTCTCAGTACTCAAAAGTTTTGAATTATGTTGCCTAATTGCATAGGCCGAGTAAAGCGCTATCAAGGGAAGAGATCCTCACAGCCAGCTTTACTCCAAGCCCTCTCTGGTTAAATATAAATGGTCTCACCTCATCTTGAAACCATGAAGTTAGGAAAGAGTTCCAACTCCACACTTACCCTTTCTTATACTTTGTCCTAATTAGAACAATGGTTGTCAGCAGGCAAGATCCCCAAACCAGCAGTATCAGCATTGCCTGGAAACTTGTTTTAAAATGTTAATTGCTGTTTTCAAATATTCTACTTTATTTGTACTTTTGTCTACAAGGGCTGTGGAATTAGTAGTGTTAGTCTTCCATGTGATAACTTTAAATATTTTAAGACTAAAACTAAACCTCATCTTTACTATGTTCTGTTAATTGTAATTATATAGTTATTTTTATAATTTATTTATTTAGTATGTATCTTACTCTAGAATGTAAGCTTTCTAAGATAGACTATAATTCTGTTGATCATAAATCACTAACTCTTAGCACAAGGCCCGGCTCTTAGTATATGCTCAATAAATGTTTGTTGGGTAAAAGAAAAGATTGCAAATTCCCAAGTCTTCCCCAGGACCTACTGAGCCGAATTCTAGAAGCAGGACCCACAGTTGTACAATAAGCCATTGAGTAATCCTGCTGCAGTCAGGTTTGAGAATTACTGCAGAACTTGCCTTTCATTCTCAGGCCTACTATTTGATATCACTTCAAAGATTCCCCCTTCCCCCACAAACCTGTAACCCTCACCAACATGTCACAGGTGAGAAACTTTCTGATCTGTATTGTAAGTGGAAATGAAGGTGTAAGAATAAATTTAGTGTTGGTAAGAAAAGTATTGCTTAGAATACCAGGACCTAGGTGCTGTGGAAGAGTTTTCTAGGAATATGGACCCCCATCAGTGTAAAGATAAACACTAACCATCATATTTCCATACAGTGCCTTTAATTGGTGACTGTTTAACATCAAAAACCCTGACAAACCACTGAAGCAGTATTAGACTAATGTATATACATCTCTGTGCCTCAGGTTGCTAAGCCGTACTCATTCCTACATCAAAGTAGACTTTTTGAGAATTGTTAATGCTTTTTTATAATACAAATAAGTCATAATAAGCTGACAAAAAGAAAAAACTTAGTATTTAAAAAAACAATTGCCTACAATTCCACCATCCAAGGAGAAGCACTGTTATTTAGGTATATGCCTTCCAGACTCTTTCTGTACATTTATAGGTTTTTTTAAATGGGATCAAGTTGTATATGCCATTTTGTAACTTTTTCACTCAACAGTACCATGACTACCATTGCTGTGTCATAATGTATTTCTACATCTTTTTAAATAGCTGCATGGTATTTCTTCATATGTGCCACATTTTATTAAACTGCTGTTGAATTTTTAGGTTTCCAGTTTTTCACTAATAAACTGCTTTGAAGAACAATGTGCTGCTAACCCTTTTGTGTTCCTCATTATTTCCTTGAGTACTTTTAGGTGGAATTGCCAATAGAAAAAAATGAGTTCCTTTTTCAAAGCTTTCATTACTAACACCTTGTCCCCTAGAAAAAATTTAGCACCTTACACTCTCTTTATCATCAGTATATGAAGGAATGCTACAGATTGGGGCAAGGAGTTGTTTTGGGGGGCTTCTACCTGAATGTTCTTAGAGTCTTTTGTTGAGAAATAAAAGGTAGACAAACAATGCAAAGTTAGAACATCAGTCTTAATTTTTCTAACCGTCATTTTCTTCTGGTATGAGTTCTGTGATACTTCGGAAGTGTTTGTAGTACTACCGCCTGCCTTTAGGTTGTAATTCAGTCTCCTGTAAGGATTATCACCTTTTTTATTTTGGCTGAAGTGGGAGAGAAAAACAATTTTACATAGTCCGGAATCCTCTGGTGGTTTTGAGACAGACTTGATGTTGAATGGACTTCGGAAGGCAGGCAGAGCATGGGCTCTTCCCCTTGGTTGGGCTGGTCAGCCATTAAGCCTCTTAGAGCTTGTTCATCTCTAGAATAAAAATATAAACTCACCTGGCAGAACTGAAAGGATCAGTCACATTATGAAGAGAACAAATGACATCCAGTGCTTAATGACTTAGTAGGAGTTCCAACTGAGTGTATTAGAATAATTGCTATTGTCAACCTTTGTGGAGTATCAGTCATTGCCAGATAAAATCGTCCCTTGAAAAGTGTCACAATGAACAAATACAGGCTTATATGTCCTCCTGTACCTGTAAGTCTACTTAGACACCCTGGCTCATTTTGCCAGTCAGGTATTCAGAAGAGATACACTGAAGCAAGTGTCTAATGGGAGATGCCAGCATACCATGCTCTTGTAGCTGTGGTCAGAGTGGTAGAGATCTTTTTGAAAGGTAAAGGGAGCAGCACATCAGCACACAAAACTCTTTACCCACAGCTGACTTTTGTGTTTTAGAGGGCTGGACCTCTGAAGACTGTTCAACGATGGTACTTCAGTTCACTGAATTCTAGGAGCATCTCTACAGATGGAGAACACATAATTGATTTGTCCATACTGGGAGAAAACTAGAGAGGTGTATGACTTTAGTGAAAGGTTGCTCGACTATTTCCAGTAAGGTAAAATCCTACGGTTAGAGCTGCAGTATAGACAAAGCCCAGAGAAGCAATGTGGCCAAATCCAGTACATTTAAATTAGCATCTGGTTTGTTGATTATGACCCAAACTTCTCAACCAGTAAGTGAAAAACTTTCAGGGTTTGAAAGAAGGAAAAGACTAGGTTTATGAGGACAAGACAAAGTGACTGATTGGGAGTAAAAACTAGATTCGTGTAAAGAACTTTCTAAAGAGCCTGGTCCACAAAGATTTAGGGCAAGTTTTTCTTCCTAATCTCATTTCCCAGTGTTTTCTGGTCAAGCTTTACTAGTAGTACCCAACAGCATGCACTTAGATGCCTGTTTGCCTTTTGTGTATAATTTCTTTTAACCAGCTCCACTTGAAAACCTCATTTGTTAAGAAGCTGAAATACTCCTTTATTGAAGATATTCTGGATTTCCTTGGTCAAAATTACAATACACACACAGCTGTGGCACACATTGACCTAAATTAGAATTGTTTGCTAACTTAGTTGAATCGCAAGGCCAAGCACTTTGTGTCCCCTACCAGCTATTATACCCCATAAAACCATACAGCATTCTAATTTATATGAGATCTATTAATAATTTAGTGTAGGTGCTGTTGTGTCTATTTGCCTTAAACACTGGCCCTTTTTAATACATCATAAAGCATACTTTTTAAAAGAATAAACCCCATTATTCCCATTGACTTCTGTAAGTTGAATTTACTGGTGGGGGAGCTTCCTCCTCCCACTGTTCTTACAACAAACTGGGGAAATAGGCCTCCAAACTACAGTTTAGGTAATAAAATATTTATTGAGCTTACTAACAGCATATGGTGGCAGCTGGGTTACAAAGGTATGGACATCCTTGGGCTGTTCTCTCTTTCACATTTGAGCTTCACCTTCCAGATCTGTGGCTCTCAGCCCAAGGTGGTGAAGTGCACTCTTCCTCCTGTATCTATCCTTGGTCCCTCCGTCCCATGCACTTAAGGGGAGGTGTGACTGTCTCCGTCTGCCCCTCCCTTCCTTCGGAGAGTCTTAGAATCCAACCGGTTTGAAGTAAGTGGTCCAGAGAAGCTAGAGAAGAAGACTTCCAACTGTTGCTGGTCATTTGGAGGGCAAGCATATCCAACAACTCTCTTATTTTATACTGCCCATCACCAACTTATACTTTGCAAACTATTATAGCATGGACTTTTACTAGTTACATCTGAACCTCAAATTTAGGATCAGTCACCTCAGTTGTTGGGACTGGGATATTCCCATTGACAAGCTTCTCTGTAAAATGAGCTGTTTCCTTCCTTTCTCCTCTGGACCTCTTTTCCACTTTACTCCTTTTATAGTCTGTGTATATACTCCCTCTGCCTCCTTTCAAAAGTGTTGGGAAAATTCCACTTAACAGGAAAAAAGTAAATGACAAAGGAAAAAAAATCACTGAATATGTAATACTGCAGAATAATCTGCTCCATTGCTATTTGTGAATGGCAAATTTCTGGGAGACAAAACTGATCAAACTACACATTGACATACAGAAGCATGCTCAGGAAACTCCTAAGAAGCACATGTCAGAGGACACTGGGGACATTAAGCACTAAGGCAGAATTAAGAGGCCCAAGTTGCCCTCACGTAGGGATTAGGTTCGATTTTACCTGAAATCTCAGCACTACAAGTAAGCACAGAGATTACCATTTACACCCTGAAATACAACAAACCTGCCCTTGTCAGATGATGCAGAAGCAGAAGATTTCCCTTCCCCACGTTTTCTGCATTCTCAGAACACTTACTTGGCATGTGTCCACACATCAGTCCTCTCCATGCCGCCTGCTACTGGAGGGGTGTGCTTCACCCCATCCTGCCCTCCCCTAGTTGCCTCAGAATGTCCTGTGGTCACTGCCGATGAAGCTGGGGAGTTGACTGAAAGTTGGTAAACCTTGGCTACCACTGGCCTCAGCATTCTACAGAAGTGGATGTGAAAGGTTATTTTACTGCATGTATTTTAGCTGGAGGAAATAGAAGTTGCTCACTAAAACTCAAAATCTTACATAAATTACTTAGTTTTCCTTTCCTCCCTGTTAAGAATTACAGGAGAGGCTGGGGAGGTAGCTCTGTGAGTAAAGTGCTTGCTGTGCCAGTGTAAAGACCTAAGTGTGAATCCACAGAACCATTTGTAGCCAAGTGTAGCAGTGCTTGCCTGTAATCTCAGTGCCCCCGCAGTAAGATGGGGACAGAGACAGAATCTCCAGAAGCTTGTGGGCCAGCCAGCCTCCCATATGCAGCAGCAAACAAGAGACCCTGTCTCAAGGTAGAAGACAAGGTTGTCCTCTGACCTCCACATGCAGTCATTCATTGTGGCACATGTACAGCCACATATGCCAGAATAAACATACATACACATCATACAAAAAACTAATGGGAGCCCTCTGCCTTGGCAGTCTCATAGTAACAGAAACCTTACCCAGGTACTTGCTTCTTGCTGACCTCTGACCCACCCCCCTTTCACCACTGCATACACAGCCTGCTCACCACTGCCTCAGACTGACTGATGGAAGTCAGAGCACCAAGGCATGAGAGCCATTTCTTCCTTCTATGCTCAACCAGCAGCTCTCAGAAAATACAACTCTCAAGTGCAAGAGCTCTTAGGTTTTGCACACACACACAGCTAATTCTCCCAGGAGAGCACATTCAACAGGATGCCTAGTAACGATAAGAGCCATTAGTGGACACTTTGCAGACCTGGCACCGGGACTCCTTTTGTCCCATATCCCTTGAAAGGGAGCTGTTAGCCATTTCTACCCTTGCAAGAAGTCCCCCTTGGTGGATGACCCCACACTCAGGCTTTTATTAAGACCATTGTGCAACATCTATGTGTTACCTTAGAAGCCTGCCCTATTACTAGGATCAAAACCACTTGCTGTTGCTATAAAATAGTACTACTAGTAGTCTATCCAGATAGAATGTGTTAGTGGACACTTTGCAGACCTGGCACCGGGACTCCTTTTGTCCCATATCCCTTGAAAGGGAGCTGTTCTTAGCCATTTCTACCCTTGCAAGGAAGTCCCCCTTGGTGGATGACCCCACACTCAGGCTTTTATTAAGACCACTGTGCAACATCCATGTGTTACCTTAGAAGCCTACCCTATTACTAGGATCAAAACCACTTGCTGTTGCTATAAAATAGTACTACTAGTAGTCTATCCAGATAGAATGTGTTAGTACTAAAAACCACTTAGAACAGAATTAAGACTATAGACTTCAGAATCAAGCAAATTTTCAAATTCCAATTCTAATCAGCTGTGTGTTGAGCAAGTTACATAACTTCAATTCTGGTTTTTTTCATGTATAAAATACAGATTGAAATGCCTGCCTCCTAGGTGTTTAGCAAGCAGTTCTCAAAACAGTTCCTTGGACAGCAGCATCAGTATCACTTGATAACTTACTAGAACTGCAAATCCTCAGTCCCCTACTGAATCAAAAACTCTAGGGATGGGGTATAGTAAGTTGTGTTTTAACAAGCCTTCAGGGGCTGTGATGCACGGGGTACAGAGTGAGCCACAGTTGTGTGGATTAAAAGAATTCAAGGAACTAGCATGTAGTAAATAATGATTTCTAGATAATTGCTGTTAGAATTTCTAAACTGATGGTCTATACACGCATTTCAGAGAAAATTCCATACATATCTCTCATAACACTTCTTACAACAATTTGACAGCCAGAGGTTTGAGATTAAGATTTCTGATGAGCATATGAAGTTTATACATACATCCCTGTGCTTTAACCATGTAGAAAATGACATTTTAACCAAATATTAATCAACTAAAATCTCTATAAAAAAAAAACATTTCCACCTCT